TAACGGGTAACGAGAAATGAGGGTTCGATTCCGGAGAGGGAGTCTGAGAAACGGCTACCACATCCAAGGAAAGCAGCAGGCGCGTAAATTACCCACTCCCGGAACATGGAGGTAGTGACGAAAAATGACGATACGGGAATCATCCCTCGTAATCGGAATGAATACTTTATATCTCTTTATTAGAATAAATCGTGTTAATATATAAATTTTNCCCGTTGTCAAAGTGACAACGTCTACGATTCGATCCGCACTCGCGCGCCGTCGCTATCAACGCTGCTAACCTGTTGACGTCCGAGGAACACGCCGGACAACGCGTCGTCGATGCCAGCGAAAGTGCCGCGATATTATGCGAAGATTATATATTCCTCCCGCCACCGCTAATATTAATATATATATATATATATTTTAATATTTATACGTATATGTAAATATTCATTTATATATTCCTACAGCCGACGCCTCTGCTGCCGTATATGCCTCGTGTATAATGTTCCCTCCGCCATGCCCGCCCACATAAACACGGCTATACCTCATGCATGATACGTTTACGTACTTAAGTCCCTTTAAATATATATATATTCTAATTACTATTAAAACTTATATATTAATACACTTTATTCTCATTAAGAGATATGTAGTGTATTCATTCCGATTACGGAGGATGATTCTCGTATCGTTATTTTTCGTCACTACCTCCACGTTACGCGCCTGCTGCTTTCCTTGGATGTGGTAGCCGTTTCTTAGACTCCCTCTCCGGAATCGAACCCTTATTTCCCGTTACCCGTTACAACCATGATATTGATATTAACTACTATCATAACATGAAACTAAAAAGTGAAAAATAAATATAGTTTAAAAAAACTAAAAAACACGCTTTTCAAGAACATTGAACTAAAAAGTTCAAAATAATTTTTAAAATAAGTTTAAAACAATATTGAACGAAAAGTACTAGAATTATTGTGATAAAAGCGTGGGGGGTGCTTTGTGCCATATTTTTCGTATATTGAGCGCCCGACGCTTTTATCACAATAATTCTAGTACTTTTCGTTCAATATTGTTTTAAGCTTATTTTAAAAATTATTTTGAACTTTTTAGTTCAATGTTCTTGAAAAGCGTGTTTTTTAGTTTTTTTAAACTATATTTATTTTGAGATCCGGATCAACTCGTTCACTGATATGAATGACCCGTTCGTTCGTGAACGACCCATCACTATTTTAAAGGTTAGCTGTGTTGTCGCTAACGAACCGCTGGGTCAAACGACGGAAGTTATGTGTTCCTTCAATATGTTAAAATACGAAAAACATGTATAAGTACACTTGAATATTATTATTGAGTATTATTGCCATTTTCATTTTCGAAAAGTTATCAATCTATGTTTTTATATCTATCTTTTTATAAAAAATACCGACTGAGTACACAGGTACAAATAGGTAAACAAAATTAATTTATGTGATTGGGAAGAGGATCTGGATTGTCCCGTTTGAAACATTGCGTAGAAATTTTAAACGTTATAGAAATAAATTGTATTAACACTCATAATATGACTAGTAATGCAATGTAAATATTATAATAGTATTATAAAATATACTTTTTATTTATTAACACTTTTTAACGATTGTTATTAAGACATTCCAACTTGTATCAGTTTTTATTTATAAACATACTACATAATGATGAACAAATAGCATAAAAATATGCACCTGAATTCATTACCAATCATTTGTTTGGAGGTATAGGGAAAACATGCTCCCCTGTATATACGTAATCTTTCAAATGTGATTCTATTAAAAACAGAATGTGGGTATATTAGTTTAATTTAAATTAAAACAATATTATTATACGTTATATTTAAAATATATTTCGAACATTTGTTATCATTAATTAACGGGAAATTAATATGTTAGTACATTACTTTTCTGTGGTATAAGACGGTATTCAGTAAGTAAGTTATTTTTCTCGACTTCAAAGAAACAAAAAAATTTAAATATGATTCATTTTTTATACTATGTCATTTAGATTGATATAATATTTATGAAAATCAGTGTAATCCCCTTATAATAAAATAAAATACAAAACCAAGAATTTTAACACAAAAATAGCATATTTTTGAATACGGTAGCCATTTACACATAGAAGATAGGTCGTCGGGACAAATTTTTTTTTTCATTTTGTAGTACATAAAATAAGCTTTAATTTGATATATGTTTAAAGGACGCAGTATTTCCGGAACATTTTCAAAAATTAAGTTGAAAAAGTTAGTTTTTGTAAAAAAGTTGCTATTTTAAATCTCCCCCAATGAGCAGTTTAAGTGTTAGATTTTCAAAAAAATGATATCAAATGAAAGGGAAATATCTAAGGTTTTAGTACAAAAAAAAATTGTGTTGATTTGTTTATTTTTGAAAAAGTTATGGAAGTTTTAAGAAAAAAAAGTGAAAAAAATGACAAAATTTACCGATTTTTTTGGAATTGTAATGATATACATAGTACATCATTAATATCATAATAAATTATTTGTATACACTAGGGTGGTCCTTAAATTACAAATTTTCAAAATTTGATTTACGCACACCAAAAAATTGTTCTAATACATGTAAAAATAAACTGTGCAAAATTTGGTCCCGATAGGTTGACGTTAACACGTGCCGCAAGAGGGTTGAAAATTCGATCAAAAGGGTAGTTTTTCAGTTATTGTGCTTTATCACAAAATATATGATTTTTATGTAAAAGTTTATAAGAAAGAAATTATACATATAATTATTTTACACAAAAAAGATTATTAGCGAAAAACCCATAAGTCAAATATTTACCTCCTAAAAGTCAAAAGTTCCATAAATATTATGTTTACCAGTAAAATTCATATATTTTGGCAATTTAAGTATATACGATGAACCGTTCAAGTTAAAAAAAAATTTTCATGTAAAAGTTATTTGAAATTTAATTTTCTATTAGTTTTGTAGAAAAATAACCGTAAAATGAAAAAAATGGAATATAAATTTTAGTACTCATATTAAATGTAATGTAACTCGAAAAATATTTGTTTAAATGAAAAAATATACGATAATTTTTTTGTTTATAATTGTCTTTTAAACAACTTTTGTACGAAACTTTTTTTTGTAAGTTAAATATTTTTTGAGAAAATTAAAAAAGCTCATATTTTTGAACTTTTGCGAGGCTGTAAAAAAAAGCTCAATTTCAATCAATGAAGACTATTAGTATGTCATTATACATATTTTAATTCAACTATTAATAAAACAAAATTTGGTTGGGAATTTTTTAAGAAATTTTTCCTTTGTTGACTGGCCTAGATGTCAATTTTAAACTTGAATTGAGCTAAAAGTTATGGTAATATATTCAATTTTTTTCGCTATAAACTTTCATAAATATTTATCAAAAATTTTTCATCAATTTTAAAGAACCAAAAAATTAGGTTAAAAATGAAAATTTGGACTGATTATTTTTAACATATTAACAATCAAATCAGTAATAATTTGAAAACAATTTTTTTTTTCTTTTAATTATTATTTTATATGTAATTAGTAATAATACTAAAAATTAGAAGTGATAGAAAAAGTCTAATTGCAGATTTGAAAACAACGCGAAACTTTGATTTAAAAAAGTATATTTTTGTTTCTGATGAAAGTTCCTTGAAGTCCAGTGCATTCATTTATAGTAACAAACAGTTTTTATTGATAATTATTGTATTAAGCCCTTTAAATTTTTATACAAGTAAAAATAAAGCAAAATACAACTTCTTTATTATTTTTATAATTTCTCCGTTTAAATTACAATATTAAATCATTGAATATCAATTTCATACTAAATTTAAAAACTATAATTAGTATTTATTCATATATTATATTTTAAAATCAATGTTCGTCTACAGGCTCCTAAATATCGGTTGGCCTGATTGACTTAGGACTTGAATTCAAGGAAACCCCAATAAATTATTAAATAAGAAACTCGAAAGGAATTTGTCTATAATAACAAAATTAGTTTAATTAATAATACACTTTATGGTTGGGCGTCCCCACTTACATTAATAATGACAACTAAATAATACACTGCAATAAAATAAGTACAAATATAAATTTTAAGTGCTATAGAATACAATAATCTGACCTGGTCAGACATCAAGGATTGGATTATAACTGTTATATTCAACCAACTTCAATCGTTTGAATGAAACAAAACACGAGTAAACTATAATGATCACGCGCCCGGTAAATCCACCGAATTCACCTTTACATTACGATACCGCAAAGTCGCGGAAAAAACTCGTGGCGGCGCCAATGGGTCTAATCACTAGACCATACAATGGTTGACTGACTAGATAAGGCGACGACTTACCGGACGGCGAACGGCATCCCCACTTACTATATGTAATACTACTTATTATATTTAAGATTAATTGTTTTTTAACTTTATATTTATTTTGAATTTATTTTGAAGTTGGTTTCTGTTTTTTATGGGTAATTTATAATCGTTTTACATTTTTTCAGTTACATTTCTATACATTTCTTAAAATTGAAAATATTTTATGATATTAATAGTGCTGCTTATAGTTGTTTAATATTTATACAGAATTTTATTGATAAATGTGTAATTTAAATAAGCACGGCACAACAGTTTAATTTTATTATTAGTGTTTTTAATTATTGCTGGTGCGTTGAATAATATTCATAAATTTAAAATATAAAAATATAGTGTTAATTTCTATTACTACTTGTTGCATTTGATTTAATTTTTAAGTAATTATATTGTGCGTTTGGTTTTGTTTAGTATTAGTATTTTGCAGTGGTTAATAAAACATATATATATATTTATTTAAAAATCCGTATTTAAGTAGTATTGGTTTGCCTTGTATCTGCTAAAATTTATTTATGTTAGCTAAAAAAAGGGTTCATTTAGTGATTGTTGTTTCATTTAAAAGATTTTTTTACAATAATTGTTTTATTGGAATTCATTAAATATTTTATTGCCTTTCCGTCAATTAAGAGAAAATGTCCAATACTGATGAGCGTGACGTTAGATACCTACAGCGAATTAAAAAGGCTGCGTTGTTTGTTCGTGAAAGCACCATCAATCGCATTAAATCTATACATGAAATGTCTGTTCGCGTTGTTGAGTCTCCTGAGCTGTTACCTGATTTTCTAATATCTGTGAAGGATTTAGACCCATTATGGGAAACATTTTTAGCAAATAATCAAGCCGTACTTGAGGCCTTGTCGGATTTAGATTTGCTCGATGAATTTTCTTTAAATTTAGAAACTGATACTCGCGCATTATGCATAAGAGCATTAGCTACTGCAGATAAATATAAACCTACCTTGCCACGTCAATCACTATCTAATATTAACGATGATGGTAATGAGTCTGTAATTTCCAATAAGTCCGGCATCAATAGTGGGATGCGGTCACGTTTGCCTGAGATACCCCTCCCCTCCTACAGTGGTAGCTTTTCGGATTGGCCGGTCTTTCGTGATAGATTTAAGGCACTGATAGCTCAGCGTACGGATTTGTCCAATATTGAGCGATTTTATTATTTGTTGGGATGTCTAAAAGGTGAAGCACTTAATAGTATTCGCAACATTGTTGTATCCGAGACCACCTATGAACTAGCCTGGTCAACATTAGTCGATAGATTTGACAGACCTCGACAGCTAGCCACTTTAATTGTGGACAAGTTAATATCAATTCCGGCACAGTCACAGGAGTCTTTGGAGGGCTTAAAAGATTTTTTGGTATTATTTTCGGATCAGATAGCAGTATTGGAGTCATTGCAAATACCTAACCTTGGAGAATTTCTATTATTTGCTCTGTCGTCCCGATGCTTACCATTATCCACCCGCAAAGGTTTTGAAGCGGTTAATTCTGAAGAATTTCCTGCTGCCTCTGACGTAATAAAGTATGTAAAGGGGCGGGTATCTATTTTAGAGGCTGTCAGCTTTTCTGGTAGTTCACGTCGATCAACAGTTCAACGCGACAACATGAAACCATCAACTTTCCGAAATATAGATAAGCGACCCAAGTTTGCTTTAGTCGCTGCCAAATCTTCTGGTGCTCCTATCTATAATTGTGTTTTTTGTAATGGGTCACATGGACCATCTAAGTGTCGAATGTTTCAATCGGCTTCGGTAGAAGATCGTAACACTATGGTACGAGAGAAGAAGATTTGTTTTAGTTGTTTAAGTAGCTCACATTGGAGCAACCGTTGTAAGGAGCGCCGACCTTGTAAACACTGTCCTAGGATGCACCATAGTCTTCTTCACGTAGATAAATCAGATGGTGAGAACCTATCTAATGTGGACGGAGTACCTGTAAGCAACACTTCGGTAATGGGTACCCGTCCCAGACATACCATCTTATTAGGTACTGCACTAGCTCACATCAAAGACCGTGCAGGTATCTTTCAGACTGTTCGAGTTTTAATAGACTCAGCTTCACAAATTAGTGCAGTAACCAGTAGCTGTGTAAATCGTTTAGGATTGTCAAAGAGAAAATGGACAGCGCCCATTTTAGGTCTTGCTGGAGCTAAGGTACCTCTGGTTGAAGGAGTTGTCGACTGTCGACTCACTCCCCGGTATGCTCCACAACACGAATTACATGTAAATGCTTGGGTATTACCTAAAATTACGGCAGACATGCCCAATAGAAGTCTTTCTATTGACATAAAGTGCCAGTTTGCACACCTCGCACTGGCTGACCCCACATTCGATCAGCCAGCGCCAATTGATATGTTAGTGGGCGCGGACATGTTTGCCCAGGTAATGGACGGTAAACGCATCGAAATAAACCGTCAATTACCAGTAGCTTACGGCTCTATATTCGGTTGGGTCTTAATTGGCGGGGTAGGAATACCCACGGACGATTCTTCCCATGTTGTACTTTCGTCATTAATGACATCGCTGGAAGATCTATTAGAAAGATTCTGGGAAATAGAAGAACCAGGACTTAATGAAGATGATGTAACTGAAGAAGGAAGAAGTGAACTAATGTTTCGAAGCCTAACGACCAGAGATAGTCATGGACGGTTCATAGTGCCCTTGCCATTTCACAAAAACGCGTGCTGTGACAGACTATCGGGCTCACTGCAGTTAGCTACTCGGCGATTTGAAAACTTAGAAAGGAAATTAAAGAGTGACTCTCAGTTATACGGCGCTTATAGGGAGTTCATGAAGGAATATGAGACACTCGGTCACATGACGCCAGCTCCAGTGTCCGGAAAGTATTTCATTCCGCATCACCCGATTATTAAACAAATTGGTGATCAAATTAAACTCCGAGTGGTTTTTGATGCTTCGGCTAGGGCACCTGGGGGTTGTTCACTAAATGATTGCCTCATGTCTGGACCTAAACTGCAGTCCGATATAACGGATGTATTACTTAACTTTCGCCTGTACCAGCACGTCTTCGTAGCTGATATTTGCAAGATGTATCGCCAAGTGCTAATCCAACCCGAACACCGACAGTACCAGCACATATTATGGCGTGACGTTTCGTCTGCTATGTTGTTGTTGGCCAAATGATTGCGCAAAATAGAAAACCAGCTATGTCCTACAGTATCTGTGTCAGACGTATGGGGTTGGTCGGATTTCACGGTAGCCCTATCGTGGGTGGCGTCAGCTCAGGTATCTTTCAAGGCTTTTGTGACAAACCGTGTGGCTCTTATCCGCGCAGCTACTGCCGAGTTGTCAGTGGCGTTATGTACGGACTGACATCAATCCGGCAGATTGCGCCTCTAAGGAAATTAATGCCTGCTGAATTGGCTGCACATAAACATTACTGGCAGGGTCCATCTTTTTTGTACCACTCGATTGACACCTGGCCTCAAGAATTTAAAGTCATTTCAGAATCCGAGATGCCGTAAGTTCAACAAGTGTCGATATTGGTATCGGCACAAAGTGCATCCTCTTCGGACTTCTTAACCAGACGGTTTTCTAATTACGGTAGAATGCTCCGGGTGGTTGCTCGGATACGACGCTGGTTAAATACAGACGCCATGAACCTGTCTGTTCGGTCTCCCTATCAATTTTGGAATTGAGAGACGCGCTCACTGCTATCACTCGTTATGTACAACGAAAAACCATGTCAGATCTTATTGTCGAGTTACAAAACAGGCGACCTGTTTCATCAAAGACGTTTTCACGTTTGATGCCGTTTATAGATGATAACGGGATAGTACGCGTAGGAGGGCGTCTACAAAATGCCGACCTTCATGAACATCAAAAACACCCTATTCTGCTCACCCGGGATTGTCATTTGGCTATGCTTTTGTGTCAGCATTGGCATCGCGTCACTTGTCATTCTGGACCCCGACTTATTGTCAGCCTTATTGTGCGCCATTTCTGGATCATATCTGTTCGTGTACTCGTGCGTCGAGTGGCGACCATGTGTAATACATGTGTCCGTTTAGCTGCCGTTAATCCTCAGCCACTGATGGCTGACCTGCCTACTTCTCGTGTTCAGCAGTGTCGTGTGTTCCAACGTGTAGGAATTGATTATGCCGGCCCTTTCTCCTTCAAAGAAACGTCTCTACGAAAGTCCAGAGTTTATAAGGGATATGTGGCAATATTTGTCTGCTTTGCTGTTAAAGCCACTCACTTAGAAGTAGTGTCCAGTTTGTCTACGAAGGCATTTTTGGCCNGTAGTGTCCAGTTTGTCTACGGAGGCATTTCTGGCTACCTTAGATCGATTTGTAGCAAGACGGGGTATTCCCACAGACATTCATTCAGATTGTGGTACAAATTTTATCGGAGCAGCTAATGTTTTACGGTCACTCATCCAGACTGAGGATGCACGGGAGCGAATTGAAGCGTCAATACCCGCTCATTGGTATTTCAACCCCCCATCTGCGCCCCACTTCGGTGGACTTTGGGAGGCGGCGGTCCGTGCCATGAAGGCACGATTAACACGGGTACTATGTAACCATGTACCCACGTATGAAGAATTTACATCGTAATGTAAAGGTGAATTCGGTGGATTTACCGGGCGCGTGATCATTATAGTTTACTCGTGTTTTGTTTCATTCAAACGATTGAAGTTGGTTGAATATAACAGTTATAATCCAATCCTTGATGTCTGACCAGGTCAGATTATTGTATTCTATAGCACTTAAAATTTATATTTGTACTTATTTTATTGCAGTGTATTATTTAGTTGTCATTATTATTGTAAGTGGGGACGCCCAACCATAAAGTGTATTATTAATTAAACTAATTTTGTTCTTATAGACAAATTCCTTTCGAGTTTCTTATTTAATAATTTATTGGGGTTTCCTTGAATTTAAGTCCTAAGTCAATCAGGCCAACCGATATTTAGGAGCCTGTAGACGAACATTTGGTATCCAGAGCGTGGTTTGCTTAAATTTAAATAATATATTGAATTCAGTTAAAAGTGCAATTTTGGGCCCAGCGAGCTTTAGCTTTTTTAATGTTATAGCACATAAGATAATTGTGTGACTTTTCTGTTTTGACCGTACCTCCATGCTATAAGATTAATATATTTATACACATTTTTTAGCAAAGTACTTTTGTNGACTTTTCTGTTTTGACCGTACCTCCATGCTATAAGATTAATATATTTATACACATTTTTTAGCAAAGTACTTTTGTTATTAAAAATTAGATTTAATACTGATTCTATTTATCGTAAGATTAATATTTAATTCCAGTTATTAGAATTAATATTAAGGGAGATTGTGTATGCAGATTTGTTATTATTATATTATAGTAGGGTAAAATAGAGAGTTCTAGAACCCCCCCCCCGCCTCACCCCTTCACCTACCCTCCCACTT